ACCCCTTTAGGGGCTGTCACTTCACAGCGCAGTCGCCCGCGGGAAGGGGTGCAAGCTGACAGGGGCGATTCGAGAGCCCCCTACGCAAGGGTGCGCTCTCAATTGAGCCAGGCACAAAAAAAAATGCTTTCGGGTGACTCATCTGACAAACGCCACGCAACACGCGCACTTTTAAAATTGACGAGCTTCGCTATCTGCGAGAACAGTTCGGTTCCGGACCGCCAAACCTTTTTATCGATTTCATTCTGTGGTGCGAATGTTAGGGGTAATTTCTTATCTTTCGCCGTTTTCGAACATCCCTGCGACAGACAACCTATTGAATGCGCTATTTTTCATACACGTTATTTCAGAATTTATATAGTGGATTTCTTTCAAAGTACTTTAGTATGTGTTTTTATTTCAGTACTTGATTTTCCTGCAGATACATTTTAAATTATGCACACTTATATTTCAAGAAGAAGAAGAGCTTCGCTAATTTGCAGTACCGCTATGTTGTAAATGTAGTTATGTGGAAAATAATTATTTTAGTGGTCAAAATTATTTTCCTTATTTTGATCATCTTGGGGTCACGCCATTAATAGAACAATATTTGAAGTACGTTGCTGTGAATGAGTAAACAGTATTATTTCTATTTCGTGAATCCATTCGCATAGTTACACAGAATACTCGATTTGATTTAGTTTCAGACTTCAGTCCTCGAAATTATATCGGGTGTATTTCGTATTTTCTCTGAACAGGTACGCGATAGTAGATGTAAACATGTAATGTGAAGATATTCATAAGTAAGTCCATTTGGCAATTAAAAAATCCTTAGACACAAAAATATTGTTTGCATTCTTCAGTATAAATAATAAATATTTTTTGGGTAATTATCACCGTTGTTCAGTCACTTGTCCAAGTTAAAAAAAAGTCTCCCCTTATGATGAAAACCACTGCGTAATTCATTTCATAATCTTTGATGAAGTACTGGTTACAAAGAAATTATTTTTGATGAAGGCATAATCATTTTTAGGTCTGGTCTGTCTTAAGGATGGTACAATCTCATCCAGTCGACCCCCTTTAGACGTACATTGGACAGGGATGATCACTCATATCTATCTTCCGGTTACATTACTAAAACCGTACGATGTAAATCTGGTAGCATATTGTGTTAATAATAATTTATATAAAATCTTCAATGAAATAATATGCAATACTAATTTATAAAGATAATACTAAAACAGACATTTTACTACTACAAGGGGAGGAGTAAATTTCACTTGACCTTCCACCCTGAAAGCCTGCTCTCTGCGGCCTGATACCAGCACGAAATTCCGCTCACTTCACGGAGGCTTTCAGGGAGGCAGTTCGCCCGCGCGTTCCCGTGGCTCACTTCTCACCTCGCTGCCCGCGCGGTGCCGCTCGCCGCAATCGGCGCAGCGCAGCGCCTGCAAGGAGTGTTACTGCTCCCCGGGCCGCCGTGAGCCTCTCGCGCAGGCGGCGCGCCGCGACAGACATACGAGTCCGCGAGCGCGGGAAGGGCGGGGCGGGGCGGGGGTGGTCGGGGCGGGCGGGCAGGGGCGGGTTAGGGCGGGGAACGAGGCGGGGTGGTGCGGGCGGGTTAGGGCGGTGCGGGGTGGGGTGGGGCGGGGCGGTTAGGGCGGGGCGGTGCGCGTGGTGCGGGGCGGGGCGGGGCGGGACAGGGCGTGGTGTTGGCGGTGTCGTGGCGGGATGGAATCGGCGGGGCGTGGCGGGGCAGTGTGAGGCGGGGCGGGGTTGTAAGACGCCCTCAACGCGCAGCTGGTTCCAAGCAGGGGGTTATGACGGCAGGAGGGTGCGACGCAGAAGGCAGTGAGCACTCAAGACTCACACGATGTGACGAGGGCAGGACGTAAAATTCTTAAATGATACCAGTTTTTAGTGATGTTTATGTAAGGTCGCGTTTCCTAGTGTCGGATACAGGGGGTCCGTGCTCTACCCCATAGGCCTAGAGTTTTCGTTTGTTACCTTTCTACATTTGGCAAAATTGATTTAAAGATTTGTGTTAGAATTATGCAATTGTTTAAAAGTTATATTGAATAGTATCATACATACACTACAAAAATAATAAGCAATATAATGACAATTTTTTATTATTCAACAAAATATATGATCCCCCCCTCCGGAAAAAAAGTATTGCCAGAATCCGGCCCTGGCGTTTCCCTTAAGCTTTCTATAGGAACCCTCACCCCCAGCTGCAATCCATCTGTCGCAATTCTTCTGGGAACTTCAGGTACCCATTCTGTTTAGGTGACTACACCTAAGTGCATTCTTTTTTGCCGGAGCAGGTGATGATTATGAACGATTTGCAATTCAGGTGTGGTAAATAGTGATAGTAAATGGCAAACGTCACAATCAAATGATCAAATCATATTTGTCTTACCCAGGGTATGAATCTATAATTGCGTTTGCGTAGTTTTACTAGGACCTTTAGAGTGTACGCTATTTAGAGTGTGTTTGAGGGACTTCGAGTGAACACAACACAACTGTTTCACTTATCGAATCGTTGTTCACTGAATCGTTCACATTCGTTAGAAGCTGCTGCACTATATAAAAGTACAAATACGTATTTGGTCTTACAAGAACCACAAAGAGTTTTGGCAGTCGCCCACCGTGTCGAGAAGATCCAAAGATCCAGCGATGAAATCCGATTTGATGCCCACTGTAGCTGAAACTCCAGCGGCATGGCATCTCTTCCTGTATGATACTATTTATTTTAAAAATCATTAACATAAATTCGCTTTAACATAAACTATATTTTCCTCAATTTCTTTTGATTTTACGTTCTGTTGCGAGCAAATTTTACAATTAAGCAAATCACTTTTATTGTAATCGTTTCTTTCACTTACAATCACTATTGAACCTTCTCCGAGGTTCAAAGATTTTAATAATTGAGATGTTGTAAACTGTTTTTCTCGCCAGGAAATGTTGAGACACGGCACGCGTAAATATCGTGGTACCCATTCATGGCAGCACTTGCTGCGGAATGCAGACACTTCGCCCGCCTAGTAGAGCTTCGCGCGAGCCGTCAGAACGTTCCCGGAAGACACTCGTGAACTATGGAGCGCACCCAAGAGATCACGGAACAACAACTGCAGCCGGGGGGCCGAATTTCACGCGGACAAGCCACGAGGTCGCCTCCGGCGCGCGCAACTTGGCAACTCCCGAGGCCCAAGGCGTCGTAGTTGGTACCGCCGGAGGTGGTGTCGTTGTCAGGGCCGGAGTTACACGCGGCGGTCCAAGCGGCGCGGTGACTGAAGAGGAGGCAATGGCAGAGGAGGCGGCGGCTGGGACGGGGGGTTGATGATGGAAATGGAGGTGTCGTGGTGACACAGTCAGTCATAAAGGAGATGGTGTGTCCCTTTAGAGGAATGGCCGGGTTGAGGGATTGTAGGGGTGTGGTAGAGGAGGGGGTAGAGGTGAATGTAGGTAGATAGAAGTGGGTGCTGGTGGGGTAGATGCTGGTGCTGGTGGGGTAGATGCTGGTGCTGGTGAGCTAGAGACAGTTGGTAGAGATGGGTGGCGGTAGGGAAGAGGCGGGTAAAAAATAATGGAATAAAGACGGGTACAGATAGGGTAGAGATGGATACAGATGGGTTAGCGGCGGGTACAGGTGAGATAGTGGTGGGTGTAGCTGGGGTTGAGGAGGGTGCAGATGGGGTAGATGTGGATTCAAATGGAGTAAAAGCGGGTGTAGGTGTGGAAGAGGCGGGTACCAGTGAAGTGGGTACAAGTGGGGTAGAAGCGAGGACAAGTGGTGTAGAGGCGAGTGCATGTGGGTTAGAGACGGTTGCTGATGGGGAAGATGGAGACAGATACGATCACAGGTGGGAGAGATCAGGGTAGAGCGGTGTTTGCAGGCGTTAGTGACGGTCTAACAGTGAAGACAACGAAGGCGGTAGGAGCAGAAGAGGTTGGATCCTGGATCACGGCAGAGGAGTTTGTGGAGTACAGTAGAAGGTGGAGATGCGGAGATGGAGATGACCGCCGGCGCGGAGAAGTTTCCTTCCGTGCGGGGAAGGGGGGCGTGGCTGTCTGACGGCGCCTGGTGGCCTCCCTGTGTTCCACCGCCGCTCAGCCACTTACGGAATTGCTGCCGGGGCGCCTACTACGCCGCTCTGTACTACTTCTGCACCAATTCAGCACACGAGCCGAGGCCGTTTGCGATGGTATTGAAAGAGATAGGAGTTCTCCCTCTGTTTACTCCCCTGTTCCTTTCTACTTGTCTTTGTTTCTCACTTTTTCTAACAACTTCACTTGATTCATCTTTTGCCATTATTCTATCTTTCACAATACTGCAGTATTTTACCATTTCACGAGATCTTCAATTGTGTTCTTCTTTTGTTCCCTAGTCTACACCATTCTTAACAAATTGACGCTCCACTCACAGCATTTGGCTAATAACTTTCTCAGATGGAAATCATATCGTTCTCAATCCTCAATATTGTTCATCTGCTTCTTTACATTCTTCCTCGTAGGTCTCCGACCCATACGCTTCGTATTAAGGCTATGAGAAATTTCTTACTCAGACTCAAATCAAGGCTGGCTAAAATAAAATCTTCAAGTAATTTGTAATTAAGAGTGAGCATGATCATTTCAAACGCGGAAAGAAAAAATGTATATTATCAGTTAAAATAAGCATTAAAAGTGTTTAAATAAGATATTTATCGCCTATAAATATTTTTGTGAAAGAAATTCGTAGTGAAAAGAAAAAGGTATTGTTAGGCGATGAATGGTGGTTTGGAAAACCCCAATCATGACATGACACACCAAGCAAACATTCCTGCAAGTGGCAGGGTTCACACCTACAATCCTTCGAAGGGGACTGCTAAGGGGTATTAATTTTTCCGCTAATCGTCGCCATTTTTAAATCGGCAGCGACAATTGTTGTGAATGATGAAATAAAGACTGAGACATGATATTCAATGTGAATGATGATATTCAATGAGACGTCCCTAACCATTGCATTTCCTTTGTTTCAGATCCGCGCGCGGTGGCATCGAAACGCACCACTTTGCTAGACAACCACGGTGAGTACCTCCTCCACCGAGCTCTTCTCTCTTTCTCTTCTCCCTCCACCGCCCTCCACGTGGCGCCACCGTCGTGTGGCGCGCATCGTCGTCGCTCACCTGTTTATCGCACACCGCGGGATGGCCCATTTCGCTCGCCGCCGCGCCCGCCCGCCCGCCCGCGCCGAATCGCGCCGCCCATCGCGTCAAGCGCTTTTACTTTCGCGCGTTTACGGGGCCGCCCGCGCCCTCGCACAGTGGGCCGGCGCCTGCGGAATCAGACGCGGGGTTGAAAATCTTGCAACGTACACAGGATGATTCAGAGTAAATGATACAATCTTCTAGGATGTGTGGGGGTCGACGATAACCACTTTTTTGGCAATAGTGATTCAGCGTCCGCAGAAACAGGCGGGGGGGGGGATTGGGTTCTTGGAACTTATACGGGATAGTTCAGAATAAATGTCACAAACTTCGACAGCATACCCCCGAAGTAGATGTACCACCATGCTATGGTAGTACATGTTGTGGGACATTGACATGTGGTGGGAAATCTCCTAAATCGAAGGTAAGCATTTAGCATTTGATTCTGATTAGTACTCAACGTATCCTGTATTGGTGTTCCGCAGGTAAACGAATCTCAGGGGACGCCGTGTTCGCTGGGAATGAAAATGCTGAATCTTTTACCTTCTTTTGTTCAGCTTTTGACTACACACATTTTTCGAACGAACATTAATGTACTTTCTGACATAGTTCAAAGTTGTACAATTATGACAAAAATCTCAATATGGTGACACATATTAACATTTTTAGGTTTGTGATATATGTACTCATAGTCATACTGTGATTTAAAAGATTTTAAATACTTTGTGTAGTAATTTAATAGAAAAATGTTACGGGAAGAGCCTCCTGAAAATTTTAATGAAATGGAAGAAAATCAAGTAAACCTTTTTTTATTGAAAATTATTTACTTTCCCCTTAAAGATAAGTTCACCTTTCTAAAAGTAAACATTGAATTCACTCCAGTCGCCCCCGTCTCATGCAGTGACAAAAACAAAACATTGTTTTCAAGTTTAAAAATTCATGAATCTTAAAGCTTATTAAGGACTCCATTTCTCTCTAATCTGATAAATTTTAGTAAATGGCTTTGAAGATTTGAATGATTTCTTTTAAAACGAAAAATAATCATAAAAACTAGTTTGTTTTTAAAACCGATGATTTCTTTAAACAAGCGCAAATTTGTAATTTTCATATACCAGTTGTCATTCACTACTACTGGCGGATAATGTTGTAGTAAAAACATAAAATATAATACGCGTGAGTGATTTTGTACCAGTAAGCTGTCTTCGAAGTCTAGTAGACTATATTAATAATGTATGATGTATTAATCGCCAACAAAACATCGATGTTTCTAAACATCGATACTCAAAAGTAAAACGTCGACCCAACCATCGATATTATTTAACACTAATACTTTTAAACCAATTAACCATAGAAGTTCACACAATTTGAAAGTGGTCCCGTATATTACTAATAATAATTGAGATTTAATAGACAAAACGAAATGCACAAATTATCAAGACAGTTAACGCAACTTGGATTATCTGATTTGATAAGTAAAAAACAATACAGGCTTCTGTCACTTTCGTGAGAATAATATTCAATTAACGAATATTTGAAATTTATCGTAGAACTGTGTTAAGATGAACTTGTTTCTTTTTAAAAATATGAACCACGTAAAAACGTCGAAAATAAAATGTCGATGTTGGAAAACATCGTCTTCAAAAAATTGATGTTAACTCCATCGACGGTTTGACAAAAATATCAATGTTTAAAAACATCCCTTGTATGAAACGCCCAGTGAGTGCCGTTGCGGTACACGCGTTCCCACCCACTGCGCCACCGTGCCGTCTGGAATCCAAGGAACCGCCGCACACGTAGGATGCGACGCGCTTAGAACGCGCGCTCGCCCGAAAATTGCGTCATGTAAAACAAACGCCGTAAACGCCCCCTCCCGAACGGGCTAATAACCGTAAACTGCTCGGCGCGGCCGCTGATGTATCATTGCGGCGTTGGCACTCTTACAGCGGAAAAAGGAAGTGCGATAGGGGACACGAAATCTGTCGGCAAAATTCCGCTGTAATCTTCTTCGTCCGTTACAGAGAGCCTCGTTATGCGTAAATGTTACGTGGGGCGGCTGCGGACTAATCAAATTCAGACGGCTGTCAAAAACCGTCAGGTGCGCGAGATTGTGTAATCGATTGGACGTTTGTCTTTAATTAAATCACGCTAATTCGCGCAAAATTGATTAAATCTCTCGTTTCATTTTTGCGAATTTTACTGCGATAATTTTTATTTAATTGCGTCACAAATTTGTTAATTTTTTAAGGTGGATTTAATTGGACATTCAAAATATTTGTATGTATTAAAAACGACAACTGGCGCTGAACATTTATCTGCGTGCTTCGAAACAAATGTTGAATGTATTTGATTCAAGTCTTTTTTGAATTCACAATGCCATTAATAGTATTAGAAAATGCATAGCCGTTATACGGACACACACTTTTATTTCATTATAATGGACAATATTTTGTATTCACTATATCTACAGCTGTGTGATTTTTAAATAAAATTATCATTATACACGTCATGTACTTATTGAAAATAATATAAATTTCATGTTGTATTCGCAGAAACAGGTTTGTTTTCAGGCGGAGTAATATAAAGAAAAATATCAACACATTAAAAAACAGTTGAATATGAATATGGAAGGGCTCAGTGAGCGTCTTTGGAGCTCCCTCATCTGTTTCAATTATCAGATGATCGTTTTATCCATCGGCCGCGCCTCAGTGGCGCAGAAGATTCGAGTCAAACTCGGCGACCGAGGCGGTCGGCGGCGGTTTATTAATACAGCCAGTCGCCGCGCAGACGTCGCCCGCAACTGACATTTGAATATCGCGTCGCAGTGTCCTCTTCCTCGTTATCCAGCACTCGACATGCCCCTTCCACCTCCGCCAATCCCTCCGCGATTCGCCTCGGTTCCCCCC